ACAGCACAAAACCTTCAAAGCTCAGAAGACAGAGAGAAAGATACCTACATGAATGACTAGAAAACAAGAGCAAGTGCTACAAAGGGACATTGGAAATGACAAGGAAATAGCTGATGCACACATTTCGTGACAGTATACTAAAGCATTCCTGTACCCACCTACATTACAGTGACATCTATAGCAGGAAACTTTAAGTAGAAGAGAAGGGCTGTCCCATTACACACCAGATGGTTTGAGTTCTGATTCTTAAAAAGAAACAATGTTCTTAGGGACAAGAAGAAAAAAATACTTAAATTTAGGGAAAAAAACACTTGGAAGATTTATTTTATGATGAGGATTGTTTAGAAATCCAGAAAAGGATTCAAGATCAATAACCTATCTTGAAGCAGACTGAAATGAGAGAAAAAAACAAAAACAAAAACAAGATTTCCAAATCTGCCCTCAACATTTATTTCTGTGTGTCTGTGATTTCTTTCCTTGTCATAGCCTGTAATACAAATAACAGCAATCTGGCTTGCAGATCAACACATCACTATTCTAAGTTTATAGGTGGTAATCATAACCGACCATGGTCTCCTTTTTCCCCCTGCTCAAAACTTGGTCTTAGAAGTCTTATCCTTACAGTTTTCTGGCTGCCATCATCGGACGACTAGAATTTACACTGTGGAGAAAACCCAACTGCAACCTTCGTTTCAGACCTGCATTTCTTATATTCTTAATAAGCTACTTACTTAGCCCTGGACAAAAGCAGTCTAAAAGGGAAACCATTCTGGGGTAAGGGGTAAAGGGTAATCAGAGCTGTCTGAATCACTTGCTATTAGGTGAAAGAAAACAAAGGAGATAAAACTAACCAGAGAAACAAGTGGAAACCGCCAAGCTTTCTACAGCAATTGCCAAAACAGGAAATTTACTTCCACTAGTCAGATATATAACCACAGAGTAACAGATTATAATCAGGAAGACAGGCTGAACAAAGAAAACTTAGACACCAAAATATAAAATAAAATAAAATCTTCCCTATTTTCCACTGTCAGAGAAATACGTAATTAAAGTTACTTTGTTTCAGGTATTTTAAAATTCTAAACATATATTTATGAATAAAAATATGGGTTGTAATTATTAGATATTACTCATTTATCAAATAAAATAAAGAGCAAATTAATTTTTTAAAAATTTTACAAGGTATATGTACAAATACAACAGAGTGCCACAGTCTCATGATTAGAATAGAATGAAGATCTTAAAAATAATGTAGGCTGGGCGTGGTGGCTCATGCCTGTAATCCCAGCACTTTGGGAGGCCGAGGTAGACTGACCGCCTGACATCAGGAGTTCAAGACCAGCCTGGCCAACATGGTGAAACCCTGTCTCTATTAAAATATAAAAATTAGCTGGGCATGGTGGCATGCGCCTGCAGTCCTAGTTACTCAGAAGGCTGAGGCAGGGAAATCACTCGAGCCTGGGAGACAGAGGTTGCAGTGAGCTGAGATCACACGACTGCACTCCAGGTTGCCAACAGAGTGAGACTCCGTCTCAAAAAAATAAAATATATCCTGACACCCTCCCCACCCTCATTAGAGAACTGTACCTTTAACAAACTGTTTCCAGATATAGGTCACTCACGGCTAGGGTACCTCAAAAAAATCTTTAAAAACACATGGTCTATTCAACTTTGTACTAGAAATTCCAACCAGATCAGGCAAGAAAAATAAATTACAGGCATGCAAATTAGAAAGGAAGAAGTGAAACGATCCCTATTACAGATGACTGACCTTATATATACAAAATCCTAAAGAATATACCAAAGAAACTACTGAAGCTAATAATTTCAGCAAAGCTACAGGATACAAGATCAACAAGCAAAAAATCTGTTGTATTTCTACCCAGCAGCAATAAACCATCCAAAAAGAAAACTAAGAAAACAATTCCACGTATGATAGTATCAAAAAGAATAACAAATAAATTAAAGGTGCAAGACATATACAAAGAAAACTACAAAACACTGCTGATTCCCCTGTTTGTTGCAGCACTGTTCACAATAGCCAAAATTTGGAAGAAACCTAAGTGCCCAGCAACAGATAAATGGATAAAGAACATGTGGTATTTATAAACAATGGAGTACTATTCAGGCATAAAAAATAATGAGACCCTGTCTTTTGCAATAACATGGATGTAACTGGAGGCCATATTAGCTAAGTGAAATAAACTAGGCACAGAAAGACAAACATGTCACATTCACACTTATTTGTGGGATCTAAAAATCAAAACAATTGAACTCATGGAGATAGAGAGCAGAAAGATGGTTACTAGAGGCTGGGAAGGATAGTGATAGGGTAGGGGAAAGCTGGAGGTAGTTATTAATAGGTACCAAAAAACTAAAAAGAATGGACCAGGTGCAAGTAGCTCACGCCTGTAATTCCAGCACTTTGGGAGGCCGAGGCAGGCGGACCACCTGAGATCAGGAGCTCAAGACCAGCCTGGCCAACATGGTGAAACCCTGTCTCTACAACAATGCAAGTATTAGCTGGGCCTCATGGCGGGTGCCTGCAATCCCAGCTACTCAGGAAGCTGAGGCAGGAGAATCACTTGAACATGGGATGCAGAGGTTGCAGTGAGCTGAGATCACACCATTGCACTCCAGCCTGGGCAAGAAAGCATCTCAAAAAATAATAATAAAATAAAAAGAATAAGACCTAGTATTTGATAGCACAACAGGGTGACCACAGTCAGTAATTTAATTGTATATGTTTAAATAACTGAGAGTATAATTGGTTTATAACAAAGGATAAATACTTGTGGGGATGTATCCCCATTTTACATGATGTGATCATTACGCATTACACGCCTGTATCAAAACATCTCAAGTACCCCATTAATATATACACCAACTATGTAGCCACAAAAATTAAAATTTAAAATTTAAAATAAACACAGCTGAAACAAATTAAAGAGTAACTAAATAATGCATCCCATGCTCATGAACTGGAAGGTTTTTGTGGTTTTGTTTTTTTATATTGTAAAGATGGCAATGCTTCCCCAAGTGATCTCTAGATTGAATGCAATCCCTATCAAAATCCCAACAGGAGTTTTTGTTAAAACAGAAAAGCAGATTGTAAATATGGAAATGCAAGGGACCCCAAAATAGTCAAAATAATTTTGAAAACAAAGAACAAAGTTGGAGAACTCAAGCTTCTCAATTTCACAACAAACTACAGTAATCAAAATAATGTGTTATCTGACATAAAAATAGACATACAGATCAGTGAAACATAACAGAAATGGCAAAAACAAACCCATACCTATATGGTCAACTGATTTCTGACAACGGTGCCAAGGCCATTCAATGGAAAAAGGATAGCCTCCTCAACAAACTGTGCTGGGAGAACTGAATATACGCAGGCCAAAGAATGAGGTTGGAACCTTACCTCACATCATGTACAAAAATTATTTCAAAATGGATCAATGACCTAAATACAAGAGATAAAAGTATAAAACTCTTAAAAGGAAACTTAAGGGTAAGTATTCATGACCTTGGATCTGGCAATTGTATGTCAGCTATGACACCAGAAACACAAGAAACAAAAGAAAAAAATCGACAAACTGGACTTCATCAAAATTAAAAATTTCTGTGCATCAAAAGAGACTATGAAGAGAGTAAAAATACAACCGACCAATAGAATATTTACAAATCATGTATTTGATAAGGGTCTAGTATCTAGAATATATAAACAATTCCTAAAACTCAACAACAAAAAGGCAAACAACTTAATTTTCTTTAAAGGAGAAAGAATTTGAATAGACATTTCTGCAATGGCCTAAAAGCAAATGAAAAGATGCTCAATACCATTAGTCATTTGGGAATGCAAAAGAAAACCACAATGAGATACCACTTCACACCCACTAGACTGGCCATTATCAAAAAGTGGAAAATAATAGGTTTTGGCAAGGTTGCAGAGAAATTAGAATCCTCATACATTGCTGGCAGAAATTTGAATGGTCACGTGCTGTGGAAAAGAGTTTGGCAGTTCCTTAAAAAATTAAACACAGAATTCCCATATGATCCAGTAATTCTACTCATAGGTAAACATTCAAAAGAATTGAAAACGTGTATTCAAATAAATATTGCATATGAATGATCACAGCGGCACTATTCACAATAGCTAAAATGGTGAAAATAACCCAAATATCCATCAACTGAAGAGTAGGTAAACAAAATGTGGTGTACTCTAACCATGGAATATTACTCAGCCATAAAAAGGAATGAAGTACTGATATTATGTACAGGGTTTCCTTCTGAAGTGATGAAAATGTCTATAGACATTGCCCTTAAGTTTCCTGTTAAGAATTTTATACTTTTGGCCGGGCGCGGTGGCTCAAGCCTGTAATCCCAGCACTTTGGGAGGCCGAGGCGGGTGGATCACAAGGTCAAGAGATCGAGACCATCCTGGTCAACATGGTGAAACCCCGTCTCTACTAAAAATACAAAAAATTAGCTGGGCATGGTGGCGCGTGCCTGTAATCCCAGCTACTCAGGAGGCTGAGGCAGGAGAATTGCCTGAACCCAGGAGGCGGAGGTTGCGGTGAGCCGAGATCGTGCCATTGCATTCCAGCCTGGGTAACAAGAGCGAAACTCCATCTCGAAAAAAAAAAAAAAAAAAAAAAAAAAAAAAAAAAAAAAAAAAAAAAAAAAAAAGAATTTTATACTTTTACCTCTTACATGACCCAAAATAGAGGTCACAGCTGCACAACACTGTGAGTAAATTGTATGTCATTTTTATATGGTTACTGCCCCTTAGCCCTTGTTACTCGGGAAGCTGAGGTTGGAAGACCTCTGAGCCCAGGAGTTCAAGGTTACAGTGAGCTATGATTGTGCCACTGTACTACAGCCTGGGCAATAGAGCAAGACTGTCTCTAATATGTTTAAACAATGTATTTTCCATTCAGAAACCACCATACCTTTTCAAATAGATTCAAAGCGTTTCATCGTAACATATTTCTTACCAGAAGACTCTTTTTCATTCTGTTTTTCATAGAGGGTGCCCACAGACATCAGGAAAACAATAACCAGGAATACTGGAATTCTCCATGAGCCAGCCAGGGATGCTGCAAATTATTAAGAATTCGCATTTTTAGTGAAATTAAAACCTAGTACTTGTTTTTATAAGACTCAATTTTGTAGTTTGACAGAACAATCTGGTATATATGTCAATTACAGAATTATTTATCAGGCAAAAAAAAAAAAAATTTAAGTCCATTAGATAGATTAAACTTCAAGGTTTGTCAAAATTACGTTCATCTCTGCTCTCAGAGCCCCTGATCAAATGGATAGGTTATATGCCAGCCTACCTTTAATAGGTTTCTATTAAAGAGTTTATTCTAATGCATATTAAGGGTCTAAAATCATCCTAAACTCAAACCACCTACCTCATCCCAGAATGACCAGAATTAGGCACAGATCTCAAAGTCATAAAGTCTGATCTGGTTTCCTGAAAATACCACAGGGTGTGAACTTTATCTCTCAAGAAAGAGAATAGCCCAAAAGAGCACAGCAAAAGCGTCAATGTCTCCTCCTCAGCGTATAATGCAAAAATGTTTACAATTCGGCCAGGCACTGGGCTCATGCCTGAATCTCAGCACTTTGGGAGGCTGACAGGTGGATAATTTGAGGTCAGGAATTCAAGACTAGCCTGGCCAACATGGTGAAACCTCATCTCTACTGAAAATCCAAAAAAAGAAAAATATTAGCCAGGCATGGTGGTACACACTTGTAATCCCAGCTACTTGGGAGGCTGAGGCAGGAGAATTTGCTTGAACCCGGGAGGAGGCAGCTACAGTGAGCCGAGATCACACCACTGCACTCCAGCCTGGGAAACGGGGTGAGACTCCGTCTCAAAAAAACAAAACAAACAAACAAAAAAAAATGTTTACAAGTCACCAAAAAACATGTCCTTACTCATAACCATTTCCCTGAGTCCACCTAGAACCTCATAAACATGCCTGTCTGCCTGCCTCCCTCCTCTGCCTTCCCTGAGTTCAAAATGAGTCATATCTGACATAAGGTATCTTGCAGATAAATTCCTCTATCATTCCAACTCAACAAAGCTAGAAAATAATGCTTTGTTTGACATCAAACAAGGACAGAGACATTACTGTTTTATTATTTTATTTTCAACAATAAGAAACTACTTTAAGGCTTTCTACTGTCCTAGGTTACTGAATTGCGTTGTTTAATTAGAACTTAATGTTTCCATTGGCTCAAACTTGAGAGATGAAAGTCTCAACCGTAAGTACCATGCTGAAAAATCAACATCTGAGCAGCCACTCGCTAACATAACAGGGAACCCATTACTCTGAGCAGCTCTGACATGAATCATCCTTATGTAGAAAAGAGATTTGCCTCTCTGAAGCTACTCACTACTTTGACATCTCTCTCTCATGGTTACAGAGATCTATTTAAAGTACTCTTTCACAGGACACTTCTTCAAATATCAGAAACAGGCTTTCATGTTGTATATCCTCCTTACCTCTATCTTCTTTCCACCCTAGAGCCCTGGTTCCCTCCTCTTATCCAGAGTAAACATCTCTAGTTCCCTTAACCGGTTCTCACAAGTGATTCTGAGCACCTCTTATCATCGTTGACTGCTTATCTATATCCTCACCTAAGTACGACACTCAGAAATGATATGAGAATCCAAGGGTGCTCTACTTTTTAAGATGTATTGACTTTTAAAAGGACCTTTTGGAAAATGAACATGTAACATAATTAAAGACATTTTAAAGCACATCATTTTCATTAAAATTTAATGAAACATTAAAGCATAACATTTTCTAAAGATTAAAGAATTTCAAATGCAACATATAACACTACAAAGAATTCACTTTCATTCACACAGTCAGCCTCTGCTAACCTTAAGCTAGACTTAAAAAAAAAATAAAAAAAAAAAAAAGAAGGAACCCACCTAAATGAAAAAGCAATATAATCCAGACAGGAATTGAAATTGCTCTCAAGTAGCGTTCAGTGCTTGCATTCCACTTGAATGAAACAGTCAACACATAGCCAACCACCAACGTCCAGATCTTAAATAAATGAAATAAAGACACAGTTGTAAAATCTATACACATGAAAATGAACATACAATTATACAAAATCAGCAAGCATCTATACAGCAGGAGTGCTCTGAACACAGCACAGAAAAGATGAAGGTTGATGACGCCAAAGAAACGTGCCTAGGTTCTCCTCATTTAGAGAACCTAAGTTTTAAAATATTAGGCATCTAAAATCCCATGTAATGATATTATTTAAATAGTTGTTTAACAAAAGACACATAGCTCAAAACCCATCTTATACACAAAAATACTTGAGATAAAATATTCAATGTATAAACCATGGATTTAAATTAAGTCTTTTGTGGAATTCCTACAGTTTTCCCTGTTGATCAATGTTTAGGGGAAAAAAAATGGAAAGAAAAAAACAGGAAAAGAAAAGCTTTCCAAAAAGAATCAGGTTAAAAGATTCATTTCAGCTTATAAAATATGCTTATTACTGGGAAAAGAATTTCTTAAAAGTTAGAAAGAAGGCAGCCAGCTGAAGTGTGACCCTGCTGAAATAATCTAGGTAACAGATGGTTAGAACCTAATCCAGAGTTATGATGCACCAGTTGAAGAAGTGTGGCTGAAAAAAATATTATTAAAGGAACAAACAGCAGGACTTCAGAAGACTCAGCCAGGGTACCCTCCTCAGTTCTTTCTACATTAAATGATTCTAGAGTTTAAGAAGCATCAAAAGAAACCAACATAGCCTACACAGAAACTCATATTTTAATAGAACATTTATAAAGCACATAATCCAGAACACATCTAAGCACAAATAACTTATTAACATAAGACCAGGAAACTAAAATTCAAGTTTGACACGAACCTTGAAAAAAAAACAAAAGGCAAATTAAGACAAGAAGAAACTTCAAGCTATGTAATTCAGAGCAAGAAGAAAAAAGAACTGATAGAATTACTACAAAAGACAGAAAAAAACTATCTCCTACATTATTTTGGTCAAATCTATCAATAAAAATAATCTTCGCATCTTAAAAATGTTTATAGCTTCTAACCTCAGAATTCAGCTTTCAGACTTTATCCTTACTAATGATAAATTCTGAAAAAGCTTTAAATATAAAGAAGCTCATCAGTATGATTTAGAACAGTGGAAAAAGTGATTACCTACAAGGTCAACTGGGAAATGATTCACTCAATAAAATGGTATACAACCATTAAAATGACTTCTTAAAAACAAAGATTATATAGTTTAAAAACTCCCAATATCATATTAAGTCAAAAGTAAAATACAAGGAATACATGATGTGATTTAAGAAGTTAGTGGTTGAATTTGGGTGGTAAGATTTTGTTTTTCCTTACACATTTTTTCTGTATTTTCCAAATTGCCTTTAATAAGCACTAATTCTTTTATAATAAAAAGGACATTAAAATATCTTTCTTCAAGTAACTATCAGATGAAATATTAAAGAGCTCTGAAGCTCAAAAATATGAGGACATGGGAAGTGAGACTACAGCAGCTTCAAAAAGTCCAGGCTTGCTGGACCAGACCAATTAACCCTGGGAATTCAAGGAATTTGAGATCTGATTGTAGAGTGCAGAAAAAAATCTGAGTTCAATAATAGTACACTTATATAACATTCCTATGTGCCAGGCCCTATTCTAATGCTTTATATGTGTAAACTCATTTGACCCTCATAACCCCACAAAATAAGTACTATCCTCATTTTACACATGAAAGAAATTCAGATTTCAGATAAATGACCTGTCCAAGGCCACATAGCTAATAAATGACATAGCCAGGATTGGAACCCAGGAACCTGGCTCCAGAGCCCGCTTTTCTAACCATAAGGAGAACGCAGTGTGGTGCCAGAATACTAAAGATAAACAAAAGCTGCTCCGATTTTCACAAGGGAAAATAAAAATTGTCAATTTTGACAAGTTGTTGAAATTAAAAAAAAAATCCTCAGTAAATGGATAGTCTTCAGAGGCACATTGCAGTCAGCCCTACCCTATTAAACATTCAGTCAGTCACTTAGATGAAATACTAGAGGCACAAGCATCAAAAAAACTGATTTGTGTAAAAAACTGAGTGAAGCCAGAACAATGGGCTAATCCAAATAAAACTAAATTATATGAAAAGAAATGCAAAACTCTGCTTTTAGGTTCAAATCTCAACTGCACAAGTATGGAATGGAAAGAGAACCTCTAAATCACTTTTCAGTTCAGTATGAGTCAGCGCATGACTAGTAAAAGCACTTATTTCTAAAAGTACAATACTCATATCAAGGAAAGTGATTGTTTCAATGAATTTTACACTACCAAACCACATAACAAAATTCAGCCTGGGGAAGGAAACAGAAATCACAACATGATATATAAATGTAGCTGGGGGGAAAAAAAGTTTTACTTAGAAAAGAGAAGGAAATATCAAGATTTTGTAGCTACCTTCAAATAATTTTTAAAATGTGATCTGGGAGAGGCATAAGACTTAATTTTCTGTGGTTCTGAGAGCAGAAATAGGTGGGACTTAGGAAACAACACAGCTCAGTAAGAGGACAGGTTTTTCTAAAAAACTATAGCTGTCTACAAATGGAATAACCACCACTAAAAGTGTTTTGAGCAAATGTGGACCAGAGATGACTTACCATCCTTACTAAGGGTAGCAAGAAGCTGAACTGGAAGTCACAAAAGGTACCTACAGTATACCTCCAAGAAGTTTTTGTTTCTTATCTGTATGCATAAGGAATTAGTATCACTTGCAGGTAGAGAAAAAATAAGAGACTGCATACTTCAGATTTTTTAAGAGAAATTTACGGTCTAATGAGAAACATTTATTTTCATCTACCAACCTGAAATTCACAAATTACCTGATTCCAGCTTTAAATAAGCATTTTAAAATATATTCCCCAATTCCACTTTTAGGAGTATTTTCCAGAATCACCGCACACTATACAAGCAGATATAAAAATATTCACTGTTGCCATTCACAATATAAAAAATTGAAAACAAATATCATTTTATAGGGAACTATTTAAATAATGGTATCTCCAAAAACTGAGTAATTATTCAGACTTTCAACAGGATGATGAATATTCATATCCAGTGCTACAGCATCAATTTATCCATGTGTAAATTTAAAATGGTGAAAATATACTCAACAAAAAATGTTTTATTATCTCTAGATGGTTGGATTTCAAGGAGTAATTTGCTTCTTTATGTTTTTTTATACAGGTGCTCAATTTTCTTCTAAGGTTATGTGGTATCTTTATAAACAGAAAAAAAAATATTTTTAACTTTTAGAAAAATCTCTTTTGGCTTCCGGATTTTTTTCCAGCATATTGAAGTGTTTCCTCAGAAAAGATTCGCAGAAGTAGTATTAGTTCAAGAGGCAGGGCCATTTATAAAAACACTTCAGAGTTTATGTTAAGCCCATTATAATTATACAATTACCAACAGTTAAAAATGTTTATCAAAGTATTCTAATACAAATTCAGAGCTAAGAAAATCTGTTAGAAATACTTTCTAAAACCCACCAGGGGGGAAAAAAGATTCATACTACAGCAGTACTAAAAATAAAGAAGTGGCCAGTTACAGTGGCTCACGCATGTAATCCAGCACTTTGGAAGGCCAAGGCAGGCAGATCACCTGAGGTCAGGAGTTCGAAACCAACCTGGCCAACATGGTGAAACCCCATCTCTACTAAAAATACAAAAATTAGCTAGGTGGGGTGGCATGTGCCTGTAATCCCAGCTACTTGGGAGGCTGAGGCAGGAGAATTGCTTGAACCTGGGAGGTGGAAGTTGCAGTGGGCTAAGATTGCACCACTGCACTCCAGCCTGGTCAACAAGAGCAAAACTCCATCTCCAAAAAAAAAAAAAGACGTATATCTGTAAGTGCTAACAAGGAAAGATGTCCATAATACAATGATAAAGGAAAGAGCAAAGTACAGAACTATATGTGTTACCTAATTTTTGTTTTAAAAAACAAAAACTCTGTACTTTATGTGCTCACATGGGCATAGAAATGAATTTAGAAGCCTACACATTAAACAGTTAACAGCAGTAACATCTGTAGAGTGGGAACAGTGATACAGAAAAGGGATAATTCGGCTGGGTGTGACAGTTCACACCTGTAATCCCACACCAGTAATCCCAGCTTTCCGGAAGGCTGAGACAGGCAGATTACAAGATCAGGAGTTCAAGACCAGCCTGGCCAACATGGTGAAACTCCCATCTCTATTCAAAATACAAAAATTAGCCCAGTGCAGTGGCAGGCAACTGTAATCCCAGCTACTTGGGAGGCTGAGGCAGGAGAACTGTTTAACCAGGGGGGCGGAGGTTGCAGTGAGCCAAGATCACGCCACTGCACTCTGGCCTGGGTGACAAAGCAAGACTCCGTCTTGCGTGGGGGTGGGGGGATAATTCACTTTTACCACATAAACTTCTATGCTGCTTAGTTTTTTTTTTGTTTGGTTGGCTTTGTTGAGATGGAGTCTTGCTCTGTGTCCCAGGCTGGAGTGCAGTGGCGAAATCTCAGCTCACTGCAACCTCTGCCTTCCGGGTTCAGGCAATTCTCTTGCCTCAGCCTGTCAAGTAGCTGGCACTACAGGCGCATGCCACCACACTTGGCTAATTTTTTGTACTTTTTTAGTAGAGACTGGGTTTTACCGTGTTGCCCATGCTGGTCGAGAACTCCTGTGCTCAGGTAATCTGCTTGTGTCAGCTCCCAAAGTGCTGGGATTACAGTAGTGAGCCACGACGTCTGGCTGCTGTTTATGGTTTTTAAATGTAACAAACATATTTTCCTTGAGGCAACATTTTAAATCACTAAATATCCTTTAAAATAAAAAAATAAGGATTGTACATTCATGTTTCACAAACAATTTCTAGTCTAGGACCCCTTAAGAGTTTTTTAATTCTTAAATCTTTGCTAACACAGAAACATGAGGTTAACAAGTCAACTTCATATATGTTTAGCCTCTGACCAAACCTATTCAAGTGTGAATTTTCTTCCAGGCATTAAATCAA